GAAAGACTATACCATAAACACAGCAAGAAAATTCTATTAAGTTTAAACTGGTTTCTAAAAGGTACTTGCTTCCAGGATCTGTTACCTTGCAAAGAGGTTAACAACAAAACAATATCAAACAAACAGCAGGTGAAAGCACCTCACATGAGGCTTCAGGAAATATTTTAGATTGTTACGACTAAAAGTCAGCCAGTGGTGATAGGGACAGGACGGAGGAAAAAAGATTCCTTTACAGGAAATTTAGTAAGACCAGCCTGGCTTCCTCACTGAAAGGAGGACAAACTGCCAAGAATAAGCTGATTTAAACTCTGATGCATAAACTTTAATAATAACTTTTGGAGAGGATGTTAGATTGCATTATACCGGTCACAAACCAGTAAGAGAAAAGAGATGTTCAAGAGCAGCAAATGTGTTCAAGAAATTTATGAAGAAATAATTCTGGTCCATCTTGTGGGAACCAAAATTCCCCACTGGGGAATTCTACTGCATTGCAAATTGGAAACCTTTTACAGTTTCACACTTGAATGAAAATTCAATTTACCGCTTGTGAACTTCAAAACTTCTCTTGCAAATAAAAGCATTTTGATAAAGTAATCCAACAGTAAATTTTGACAACTTTATAAAAAAAAAAGGCAGGCAGCGACTTTTAAGGGCAAGGATAGATTATCCTATGACTCTAGCTAAAACTGGGAATTGACAACACAGGATTTTACAAGCTAACTGATTAAAGTAAAGCAAATTTCCCACTGATATTTGTGAAAAAAATCGTATGCTTTTACTTCATATATAACATGACCACAGAGCAGAAGTTAATCCAAACAGACTGCAATGCTCTCTCTCATTGGATGGTTTGAGGCTGACAGTATAGATAATACCATAAGTTTCTTTCTTACCTTCCCTTTCAAAGGTAGGCTCGGTTTGAGCAAATAAAATTAAGAGCCCAGACTGTAACATGCCTGACATTTAAGCTAAACCAGGAGAACACCATTGCTGTCAGCAGAACTCTCCAGAACTAAGTATATGTGCATTCAGCTGCAGAATTAGGACCTCATTATGACAAGTTTATTTTAGATGTCATCTAAAACAAATCAGCTTCAATACCAGCAATAAAATTACCATGTTCATCCTGGAAGTCAGTGTTACATTCCCAAGGAACCATTTCCTGCTAATCAAAAGCGTAAGTTCCCCTCTTGTAGCAATACTTTATTAGAGCTGCCAGAAAAGCACTATACCATGCTTAGGATACATATTGATACACCCAAATATGTTCTTATGATCACATTTTCATAACATTGTAAAACATACATTAGAAAGAAACACCGGCCTTGTATTAGTACTCTTACTGGAGGAACTGGACAGGAAGCATCACTAAAGTTTGCTCACAAGCAAGGAGCAAAAAATAAGAATTCTGCAAGCAAAATGACTTCAATACTGAAGATGAAATGAAGGCAAAACAGTATCAGAATGTCATCAGAGATTTGAGCCTCAACACTTTTTTTTTTTTTTACTTAGGCTAATATAGATTGCATAAGAAACGAAAAAGTTATGTTAAATTTCATTAATGCCTCTAGTCTGTAAACAGCTAAGTGGCACTGCTCTTACAAGGGATTCTGCTGACTCTGCAGAAATGAAAAGCTTGTATTGAAGACTCAGCTCTAAATCTTCTACTCCAAGTCTCACAGTTCACAATCTCCGTTCACTGTGAGAACTGAAGAAAGTTCACTTTCTTTCTTTTCTCACTATGAGAAAAGATGAAAAGAAAGATTGCAGGTCAATAAACTGTGTGAAGTAGGAGCAGGTGCTGAATTTTCAAAAAACACTGGCAAAACTGATTTTTGTTATTGATATAGAAGACAGAAATTTCAGATGCTCTGATGGATTTTTAAGTAACAAACAGCTTGTACTTAGTGGAGAACACTGTAAGCAGACAGGCTATCAGAGTCAGGAAACCAGTACTTCAGTGCCAGTACAATCTGTGAGCAGCTATTAAACCTTTTCTGTTTCTCCTGTCTCTATCTATGCAGATGCCTGTTTACCATACCTGTGCTCTAGGGCCTCCACAACAGTTAAGGCTCTAAACATTAGTCTATCACAGAGGAAAAAGTCAGAGAGGTAGATGTTTTGGTTCCATTTACATTCAAGTTCATCTGTAACTAAAGATAGCACCATCTGCATTCTGTTTAAATAAATTAAACCATCAAAATAAAGACTGATTCAGTTCCTATTGAGGGAAAATAGCTTTATATTTTCAGTTCAGAATAGGTTCAGCACTGAGAATACAAGGATACTTACATCATAGTTCTGAGCCAGATACATCCCAACCACATTGCCAAGAGTAAAACCAAGCTAAAAAGGAAGAAAGGGAGAAAAGAATAGTTAACATCCTTCCATCAAAAGCATATTGGTTAAAAAAAAAAACAAGGAATATTGCAAGTCATGTGAAGACCGAAGAGTTTCAATTCCACTCCTACTTAATTTCTCACCTTTCTTCCACAGAGGTGCTATTTTACCCATCTTTCTCACTAGGAAAGCCTTACCATCATTGCCAAAATACAGCAAAATACAGTGTTTTCAATACACATCTCCAAGGCTATTTTGGATGAGGCTATGATCATCTTCGTAAAATTCCTTGCACAGCCACAAAGGCAGTGACTGCTATAAAAATGGGGGAGATCGCAGAAGGGACCTACATATCACAGAGCTCTTGGTCCATGCCTGGAAAGCCTAAAGCAACACCCCATTAAAACAATGCTCAGTGCTGGTCAAGGACACACCTATACAAATACATAACACACACTAATATACAGTAAAGAAAAGGTTCACAAGCTTGAAAGTCAGAACAGAGGCTCTGACTGCAAAAAGATCCCAGTCTCACCTTAAAAGGTTTAAGATTAGAGCTCCTCCATCACCTTTACTGATGTAAACCTGCTACTTCTCTTCTGCACCAACTAACAACTGTGCACCTTCCAGACCCCTTTGACCAAGAGCTTAGACTTCAGCTAAACCTACTCTGATCTAGGGTCTCCCCTCAGGCAGGAAAGCACTGTTGGTTGGAAGCAGGGCACAACTTCTTCTGACCACTGCACAAGCTCATTGCTGCTGAAGGGTGCCTGTGAAAATGCACCCTGGCGAGGAGCGAGCGAGCAAAACAGAAGCACGGTTCCTGGCCTGGACCCTCTTTGCCAGCTGAGGAAAATTCTCAAGCATAAAAACACTTTTGGAGTGGACAGAATTCCTCTCTTCAAAGATAGGTGATGAGATTTTCATTCAGCAACTCCCCAAGATCCTAGATTTTACTTTTATTGTTACATTTTATAATAGGTACCTCCTATACTATCAAAGCTCATTTGACTGTTCTGGAAGGGAGACACTACCAATACTGTGCCTTCATTCATTGTCAGTAGACAAATTACTCTGTATGACAGCTGAGGCCAGTTGTATTTAAGAATATTGTTATTGCTTATGGTCACTGCTGTCTAAATATTAGTATTTTAAGAAAAATAAAACCACTGTCCACAATAACAACTTTGCTATCACATACTGACTAGATATCTTTTCCATGCCCACAGTAGGATACAGTACAGCTCATCTTTTCAGTGATTCAGACAAGCATCACTGGTGACAAGCTAGCTATAGAAAACTAAAATTGGCTGAAAACTGCCAAATGAACCATGACTGCAAGTTACATCAGTATTTTCTTAAACAGATTTTTTGTCCTAGTCTTTATTTATTATTACTTTTTAAGGAGCTTAGCTTTAACAATTTAAGAAAAAGTAGGGTTATTTTTGTGGGTACTACACTGGTTATCATTTGCTCTTGTGATTTTAATTATCAGTTAAAGAAGTACTTTCGGATATATTAACAAATATTGCATTGATGTAAACCAGCCTTGGGATTCCTCTTAATGCAGAACATCATTCTCGCAGAGACGAATTTCCTGTATCTTTAGCACTGCCTGAGAACTCACTTGGAAACACAGACTTGGTCCTTGTTCGTTAGCAGTTTTCTAGGCTTTCACCCCAGAATATTTCCAAAGATGGGGCAACTACCATATTCTGCTGTGTGGTAAGACTTATTTGGTACAGACAGTACTGACATCAATATTCCCTTTAAGCGTACTCCTTTACTGGAAAGTCTAGCACTGCATTCAAGAGCAATCCACCCAGTTACATTTACTTTTACAGTTGACAATTCAAGAGGGAAAAAATTCACTATTTAGATTTCAATTATGTGGAAAGTAAAATATGTAGGCAATTAAAACGTGCATGTTCAGTAAAGACAACAGCGCTGATGAGAGTTCAGGGTCTTCTGATTTCTACCCAGCATTTCAAGTTGCATTTTAAACAAATGTTTATTTAATGTTTAACTCTGGAGAGCAAAAATATAAGGTTTGCAAGATTATCCCCTTTATCTCCCTGCTACAGCCTTAACAAGGGAGAGCAAGAGTCAAACACCCAATCCACACCCAAAGAGAGAAGAAACCGAGAATTAGGATATCTTTTTTCTAACTTTAGGCGCCAATCAAGAAGTCATAATTAATAAGAGGTTTTTATCTAGCAACAAAAAAACCCATTAGCAGTAAGCAGTAGTGCTGATAAACACAGAAACTTCGAGTGGCTATCCGTTATTTTTCCTTACTGTTTTCAGCAGAGTGGAGAGAGACTATAAACAGCTACAGAAATGACTGAGGCTTTCATCCTTGTTATTACAAAGCTGAGGTAAGAAATAAGCCTTATTTATTCATGTCATAAAAACACGCAAGACTCTCCCAACTTACAACAGGCCATCTCTTCTTGCTCTGTATCAACACTTGGTATGAAACTTATTAGCCAGCTAAATTACTCTTCCCCCAACAAAAGATGAAAGAATATCACTTATGGTGGGTACTTACTGGGGCATATCTGAACACAACTAAAACCCTAGAGTATTCCTCACATCCTCACATCGCTAGAATGAAAAACAGGAGGCTGTTTACATGCTTTGCTACAGCAGAAGCCAGTATCTCTTCTGGTTACGTAACTGATTTCCACACTTGGCAGTACAAATGCCAGCACCGATTACGTATTTAATGAAGAGTGACCAGGCATCTCACTTCAGACACCCAGAAGCATTGAGGGGAACATACAGAAAGCCACAAAGGCATATTAAAATGAGAAAAGTACAAAAACATCTAGTCTATTAATTCTGTTGTCGTTAAGGGGGGTTAACGAAAGGCAGTAATGAAACAGGACCCCTTGCCTTAACTTCTCTATATAAAAATCCACACCTCCAGAGAGCAATTTCTAAGGGTGCCCAAAACAGCAGGGACGACAGGCCCTGCTCTCACAGGAGGAGGGAGGCGCACATGCCAATGCAAAGACGCTGGAGCAGCAGGAGGGCATCGCCGTGAGCAAGCGGAATCTGCTCAATCTCCACGGCAAATTAAGGGCACGACTCAGCGAAAAAACGAAGCAGGAACTTCATTTTCAGAGCAGTTTTAAGGCACCGCTCTGTGGGGAGCGGGGATAAACCCGGCGGGGACCAAAAAGCGGGGCGAGGTGACTCGAAGGGTCAGGGCGGGCTTGAAGGAGCCGGGGGAGGGAGACCCGCCT